GACAGCGCTGCGGAGCGCCGGGCGCCCGCGTCGGGGGCTGCTCTCCGGGCTTGGGGGAGGTGTATGGAAGACCCGGAGCGGCCGTCGAGGGACCGCCGCGAAAGGGAGCCGAGAACGTTGCCTAGTTAGGGGCTGCTCATAGGATTCGTGAATAGAGTAAAAGAATGACGCCCTTCGTGGTGGAAGTGGTTCTGAGTTAGTGCGTAAAAGGGAGTAGGAGGCGGAGGCTGGAAAGAGGATTTCTTTGCGTCGTAAGAGTTTTAGGGTATAGGACCGCATACGACTGAACTGTGATGCATCCTGGGCTAGGAGACAGCTGGGGTCTGAAGGGGATCCTGTGAGTGTTAGGCTATGAACAAAGTCTGACTGTGAGCTCTGCATTTCAGAAGTAGCCGTATGGCACTGTGTAAATCGAAATTGAGTACTGGCACGAGAATGTGTTGTCCAGAGAATATATGTGTATGCATAAGAAAGTTAGGAAGACATGTCTCCTAAGAAGAGAGTCAGACTGGGAAGTGAAAAAGAGAAGAGGATCTTTGAAACTGGGCGTTGAAGGACTTTGTTGTTTCTTGTGCATGATAATGCACACTCGACACAAGTGTATTAGCCATGGCAGTGAATGTGTAATATTGAGGTAAAAAATTAAGTCAGAAGGTTTAATAACTTCTTTATAATAGATTCTGCAAAACTCGGTGGTATTTTACTTTACACTTCTTGACTCTGTAAAGTCTTGCTAATAATCTAAATGCACACATAAAAGCAGAGACTTCATCCAGCCATTAGGGAGAAAATTGCTTTGTGTAAACTAAGTATTTCAGACTGAGAGTATTTTGAACCTCAGTTTCTACTTAGGATGATAGGTTTAGCAGTTCAGCATAATGTCAATCTGTTACATTTTACACAGTTGGTGCGTATAATAGTTGGACTGTGGAATTGATACTGTGTAGCAGTTTGTTAGCTTTCATCTCACATTGTCCTTTGTGGTAGTTCTTGTTTGTGTGTCTTGTCACTTTAAGGTGCTTTTTTTTTCCCCTTCTCCCCACTGACAAGTATTAAGGAATAGATTGCTGTGGTCTGTAAATTTTTACTTTCAAAATGCTTTGAAACACATTATAGTTGGTTTGATCCCAGGCTTGCATAGTTTATTTCAATAATTACCTTGCTGGAATTATCTGTTTTAAAGCCACAGCTAGTATTTATATGAGAAGAAGCCTGAGCACTGTTAGAAATTCCAGTTGCATGCTGTGATTGTTAAGATTTGTACAAAAGCAATTAAAAGGCTCTCGTCCTTGAGGAACCTGTGATAGCCTTGCCTTAAATTAGGCAGTTTTACTGCTGACCAAGTCAATTCTGCATGACTTCTCAAAAGTGGTTAGGTCATATAATGGCATATCTGCCGAAGTGTACATACTTAAGATAGATCGAACTGCAGTTACACATCTGATCTACTCTCTTCCCATAGCTCTCATCAGAAATGTAAATCTAAACCATTAAATTTGCTTTAATAAAACTTGGCTGAGTTAGCTGAAGAATCTGTGTTTTGTAATACAGTGTCATGATTCAGAAGAGAATAAACCAGTATTTCTAGGTCACCTAGAACCAAAAACCTTGAGATTAATCTGGAAGCTGATAACAACCAGATCAGACTGCAACCAGTTCACCGTGCTCATGAACAAAATGTTCGACTCTAGGGTACTGAAGGTTCTGAGTAAGTGAAGATTTATGTCACATGAATGTGGTATGATAGCTTAATAGGTAAGGTGGCAAGTGTGGTTAATTATGGCCAGATCCTTAACTGAAAAAAGCAGATCTTTCTTCTGAACTGTCTCTAGTTGTAAATGTGTTGATCGGATATTAGTTATCTCTTCTTCCTGTGGTGAGTCCAGAAGTCAAACCAGAACTGTTTACCATAGATCTTTAGCACACATATCAAAAACTTTCTGCCAGAGAGAGACAAGAGAAGCCCCAAAAGATGACTCAATGCTATCAGTTGATCTGCTAGGTAGTTGGGTTCATGTGACTGTTACCTGAGTGTAGGGTCTCTTATCACTGTTTGTTTCCTAACTGAAATCACTGACATTTTGTGACATAAAGTGCAAAATTAGAGATGGAATCTGTTCTTGAGTAACTACAGATTTGCCTAACAGTAGGACTTCTGTGGGCTAAACTGAAGTCTGAGATTAATCTCATAAAGTTGTACATATGGAATTGCTTCATTCATCTTAAATCTTCTGGGGTTTTAGACAGAAATAATACTTTTGGGTTGCTAACAGGGTACTCTTTGTAGTCTTCACCTACTGAGGGGCAATCTCCTATAGTTCTTTAGTCAGCATTTTGTTTACAAAGCTGTGATCCTTTCACTGGCAAAAGTTGTGGCCTCTCTTACAAATTAGAGGAAGATAGCAACTGTTTAAATAACAGCATTTTTGTCCTAATGGAGTCTGATAAGGGAAAGCAGTGCAGTCTTTGACAAAGTGTTGAAGTGTGTTATTTAAATAACAGGGAAAACTCCCATCTCTATCAGATTACAAATGTTGAGCAAGTTATACAAGTATTTGAGGTTTTTATATATTATTGGTGTGTACTTTTTTGGGGTGGATTGCCAGCTTTTTGGAGCTAGTGTTTAGAACCAAAAACTACCCACTCTTACTCTGAAGTTTCAAGTTAAATTAATTTGGGATGTCCTCCTGGTTCATACTTCCAATTCATGCTTAATTTTTTCAATGTCAATGAATCCAACCAATTTAAGAGTAAAATGTTTGCAAGCCATGGTTAGGAGTAAAATTTTCTTGCTGCAAAGTGATTGCTGCCCTACCTGACTAAGTTACAGAATAATCTTGGTGGATTGTGCTTGATTTTACATGTTGCAGCATTAAAACCTAGATGTGATCTTTCATGCTAATAATGCATAATGTCTTTCTGTTTCAAGATCTAGAGATTTTAATGTTGATAAGCTGTGTAAGATTTAGAGATTTTAATGTTGATAAGCTGTGTAAGAACAACCATATTGGGTCAGAAGAGGCTTTGTTCTCTGATAGCAGCAGGGAATCCATAAGCATGTGGGTATAAGAAACAGAAAATTATTTCCTGTCTCTTTGATGTAATGCATCAGTTTTCACTTACTGGTTGTTGGACCATTGAGACTTCTTGCATTTGGAAACATTGTCATAAAGAATAATAGATATTAGTGAAATAGCTTTCAGTAATATAAGTAGTAGTTAAATTGCTGGCATTTTCAACCATCTGTGATAGTGTTTTCCATAGTTTAATGACATAAGAAAGAGAAAACTTCCCTTTCATTTAGGCTTTTACACAATATTAATTGGGTAAAAGATTTGGAAATTCAGACAGTTAAATTCTTGTGGAGACTTGAGCATTTTTGATAGTTCAGGAGTGGGAACAGGAAAGGGAAAGGTTAAATTTTTATCATGTTTTTTATGAAGTTATTTTTTTAGCCAGTTAAATGCCATGATCCCTCCATGTCTTGAGGTTTAGGGCACATGTGCCAAAGCAACCCTGCGCATAGTTTGTCACAGCAGAAAAATTCGCCTTGTCGAAGCTCACTCCTGGCTGCTTCCCTTCTATTTGTCTTCCTCTTAGTTTACCGCCCCTATGAGTAAGGCAGTGCAGGCAATTAATTGTTCTGAAGGTATGAGCCTACCACAGGCTGGCTCTTTTGCATTAATACTTTTCCTGTAACATGGTGTGCAGGCATCTAAGCATGCTTACAGAGAAAGGGATTCTGATATTTTGAAGAGAGATGACAATTGAAATTATTTGTACTCATAGAAGTGGTTAAATTTTAGTTGTCAAGCTTCTCAAGGGTGCATTAGCGGGGAAAAACTGGTTTCCATGTAGGTATGCTTCACGCAAAGTAAGGCTGGTAAGATTGTGTCAGTGCTGTGTGCATACAGAGACTAAACTATCTATTTACAATAATTCACATTGTATGGGAAGAGAGTCCTCTTGCTAGTAGAATGTATAGCTTGGCTTCTGATTAACCCTGTATTTTTCTGTGTTAATCAACAGGTAATCATTTCTGTTAACTGACAGAGACAGTTGCAATGTTTTCCTTGGATGCTATAGTAGTATAATACAGTATTATCTGTTAAAATACAGTATAGTAGTAATACTGAAGTCGGTCAAAATCTCTTCAGAAATTTGCCCACAGCACTTTAGTACAAAATTGGTGGAATTACTTGGGCATAATGTTACATACACGAATCTAGGCAGGCTTATTGGTGTTAGTTTCTTTCTAGCTAGCTACTTAATCGTGTGTATTTAAAGTGACAAAAAAAGTCTTTTATAATACTGTCTGAAGGACCTAGTTGGGATTGACACTGCAAAAATTACCAAGTAGCCCTTGTCCTGAACTACTTTCCTGGATTGCTGCATGTGCAGTTGTGGTTCCTGGTTTGAGAAGGAAATTAGACTTGGAGGTGGTTTTTTTTTTTGTTGCTTTGGGTAAGAGAAGATTGAACTCCAAATCAGAGGAGTTTGCTCACCCTTCTCTACAAGAGTGAATCCTTATTGGATGAAATTGTCTTTAAATCTTGCAGAAAGCTGCACTAAAAAGAGTGTGGTTTGGGGCAGGGGAAGGATAGAGGAAAAAACCCTCAAACTCTCAGTAGCAACTGTTGATGTGTTTCACTGCAAAACCTTTGATGACCATGTCAGTGTCTTGATGTAGTTGCACAGACAGCTGAATGTCTTAAAGATGAATTCTGATTTTTTTTATATTGAAAATACTTCCATTTGATGTTTTCATAATTTTATGATAGGGAGAAAGACAAATTCTTTTTTACACACAGTACAACCCATTACATCTTCTAAGGTGTCATTAGCTGAAAGTTAGGTGGTTCATTTTTTTTTTTATGGAAAAAAAAAAGGTTTAGAATGGAGAAAGGTAATTGCCAGCTGTTAAAAGTGTTCTGTAAGTGTCCTGTGATGTTAGTATTAATAGTAAAATATTTATCAGTGCAGCATAGCTCTGACTTAAGTACTTTCAAAACAAATTTCTTCCACAGTTCATCAAATTTTTCTCTATATATAAAGATGAGATGCTGTCTCTAATTTGCTACTCTTTTTTTGTGGTGTTGCTACTGCTTAGTTTGTTCACATTAGCTAGAAAGTAAAGTACTTCAGTAACTTAGTGATGACACTATGGCCATTTTTGTGCACCTTTGTAGACAAAATGGCTACTGGAGCAACCATTTCAGTGTGGGACAGAGAGAACCAATGCAAAATCAACTTTGGTTTTACGTATCAAGACAGCAGGCCAAATGAAGGGCCAAGTTAATTTCTTAGTTATCTAACAGATAGAGTATAGGATGGCCAGAAAGTGAAGGTGGATCCTTGGTCAAGACAGACAGTGAAATAGAAAAAGCCTGATGAATGGAAGTGTTGCAGCAGTAATGCCCATGACCAGTTGATAGTATTAAGCTATTATGTATTACTTTGAATTAACTTTTGCAAATTCTTCAGCTTCGTCTATCTTTTTTTCTGTAGAGGAAGAAAAGAAGACAGATTCATAACAGAAATGGAAAACACTTAAAAGTATATGCCTTTTTACATCACTTTTTTTTTTTTTTTTTACTGCCATTCAGAACAGACTTTCAGATGCACAGAAAAAGAAAACTTGATTAAAGGAAGCTCAGCAAATGATATAAGTATGAACAAAATAATCGTAACCACTTAATGTTACTTTTTATTGTAATGTGAAATTGATCCTTTTACCCCAAATTATGTTTCTTAGAGATTTGTAATACTTGACCTATAAGCACTATTTATGCAGTACTAGAAGAAGCAATGGTGATGGAAGGTGTTTGGTGCAGCCTGAGAAATGACTTGTTATCGCTTTATACAGCTCTACAGGAAACTCTGCTTTACTTGACTACTGATTTTACGGCTGCAAATAGGTGCCTGGTGATGTCTCCAAGTTGTTGATGCATTTGAAAATGCAGGGAAAACTAATTCTGGTAAATTAAAGCAAAATATGGATGTTTTCTCAGCATAGCCTGTAGTACCTTACAAAACAAGCAAAAACCTCTTAAGTTTAGAGAAAAGATACTTGTAAGAGATTATTAAAGCTTCTGCAAGTTGAGGTTCAGTAGCATGTGATTGTCATGATTTTGTTTTTTCTTCTCTGGTTTCAAGTCATTGTTCAGTTTTTGCTTCGAAACTCTAGCTCTTGAAGACATACCTCTTCAAACTGTGTTTGTTTTGCTTTATTTTCACCTCGGGTTGACAGCCTTAAGGTGAGGAAAAGTCTTGGAGAGGGTAATGAAAGTAAAATGATGTTATCCATGTACAGTGCTAGTGATTTTATGTAGTGAAGAGGCAGAAGCATGATAAGCTTCATCACTATGCAATCCAAAAACTGTTGGAATTCATCTAAGTTCTTACAAATAAATTCAATGTCTTGGTATGTTGCACCATATGCAGGCCCGCTTAGGAAGATGGTTGGGGTCCAGTGAATTTACTTAATTTGGCAGAGATTATGAGAACTTTACACCTGCAAGAATGGCTTTTGCTTACTGCAGATTGTATATACATACCACAGAATTCCTGATTTTTAAATCAGTCTTGAGTGAGACATTGAATCTATTGAGAAGTACTTTGCTTTAGGTAATTTTTAATAGTCTAGTTTCTAGTAGTATTAGCATTATTTTTTTCCTGATTTGCAAGTGCAGAATACGAATGCAAACTCCTGTAGTCCTTGGTTCACAGGAATGACTTACCAGACTTCATTGGTGTTCCTAATTGCTGTCCAGAAAGTGTTAACTTTGCGAAGAACTGCTTTGTTGTTTCCCCTTATAAAACAGTCAAAATACTCAATGTGAGCAATAGTGTAAATGATGTCTCAGTGAAAAACAGGTGTCTTTCTGCTTAGTTTTCAACTGAAATTTCTAAGATCAAGTAACTCAAGTCTGAGCAGTTCATAATAACAAAGGATATGCTGCCTATTTGGTATTTTTTTGTTAAACAGAATTTTACTCTTTTTACTTAAAGCTGTTGGTATCTGCAGTGTATTTGAAACCTGTTTGTTAAATGCAAGATGTTTTTATTTTTTTCTGCCTTCTCAATTTTGCAGTTCGCTCCTTTGGTACAGAAGATAGACCAACTGATAGACCTATACCACCTCGTGATGAAGTCTTTGAGTATATTATATTCCGTGGCAGTGACATTAAAGACCTGACTGTCTGTGAGCCACCAAAGCCTCAGTGTTCTTTGCCACAGGACCCTGCTATTGTTCAAGTAAGTCAAAACATATTTTCAGATGTTTGTTGCTGAAGTTGTAACCCGGTAGCTTTAAGTGCTCTCTAGCTGAGTGTTTAAAAAATAGAATGTTTGTTGCTGTAAACTTCACAACTCAAGGTAAAGAACTGTGGAAGGATTTTCTTCTTTTGAGTCATGTCTTTTAACTGTGAAAGTAAAGGCTGAAATCTAACTGTAGCACAATGCACTGGATACCAAGGCTGTCAGTTTTTCCAAAACAAGTAGTGACTTTTAGTAGACCTTGATGTCTTTTTTGAAAGGTACTGAGACTTGATTCAAGTCAAATGGAATAGAAGCTGAAACCTCTCTAAATAATGATTTTTTTGTTTGTTTGTTTGATTTCTTTTCTTTTTTCATGGTATTTTTTCTTTGCTGACTACAGTGTGTCATCTAGCTACATGTTTTTAAAAAGGCTTCATGCTAAGGGGCAGTTCCCTGAAAAAGGAGTACTTGGTTGCTTGAAGAGAAAGCAACTTACATCTTGAGGCCTTCAAGGTTAAATAATCTGTTGTTTCATAGTGAATGGACTGACAGGGATATTTTTGATCACTGAAATTTGTTGGCTTGTTCATTGTGTTTCTGGGGTGTCTTAAAAATCATCCCTAAGAGCAAGATGAAAGCTCTTGGTTCAAATGGAGCTTAGCAATTTTGTGTAAGTGCTTATGTTTCTGATGTTCAGCTATTCTATAAGATAAAATTCTTGATATTTCCTTGCAAAGTACCCTTGCAACTCTCTGAGCTCTTTTGCTAAATGTGATGCAACTCCTGTCACTGGTCGTTGAGAGCTGTGAAATAGCATCACTGCTAAGCCAAATAATAGTAAGGGTCTGCCTTTCTCCGGTATGCTTGCGTCTTTTGTAGTATTTGAATCATGTAGTATTTGAAGCTTCAGGGAAAAAGATACGACATTTTCCAAATTTGATGACAAAAGCTTGTAAACATGTTTGACAATGGAGTCCAGTATCTGAGGTTTTAGGGAAAAGATTGCAGAATTTTTTGGTACTCTTTTTAAAAGTTTGTGATCTTTGCAGGGTAAGAGTACTTTCTAAACTGTGTAATATTTGTGAAAATGTTTTCTGCTAACTATTGTCTGTGATGAGTTTTCATACAAAGTAATGTGTGTAATTTTATTTTTTTTTTTTTAGTCTGTCTTCATGTATGTTGAAGTGGTTGAAATCTTGATATTAAAAAAAGCAACTTTGTAAATATTGAGGTCTTGTATACCTATTAACCGCAGTGGTATTTATTTTAAAAATAGTGTTAGTTTCTGCATTTCTTGCCTTGCAGACCTACTTCTTTTTGTGCAAACATGAGTGTCGGCAAGTGTGTTTTGTCTTTAGTCTTCATTAGGATCTTCGACTGCATCTTCATTCCAGAATGTGGGGAACTATGGTCCTTTTGGCAGAATGCCTGCATACAGTCAGTTTAGTCCAAGCCCGCTGGTGGGGCAGCAGTTTGGTGCTGTGGGAGTTGGTATGTTGCTTTTTATTATTTGGTGTTTTCCTATAAGTGAAGTTATGTATGCATAGATAATAATCAGTGCTTACAATTTCATCTGTCTTTCCTACTTCAGAGGCAGATCCAAAGTCTTCAATCTGTATCAGTCCTACAATTTAGCTCCAAAGCAGTGTCTTTCATAGTCATTGCAGCTCAAATCAAAGCAATGATGCTTGAGAATTAAATACCCTATCTCAAAAGGGTTCCTGTATTCATTAATGCATTCTATTTTGTATGTATTCATTGCATTTGTCATATGTTCAGTTTATTTCACAAGTGGTAGGCAGCTCATCTACAAAAGCCCCATAGCTGTGTCCCAGGTTGACAAGATAGTGTGGGCCTTAACCAGGAGTTCAGATTATTCAGAAATACACATGCCAGCACAGTCCTTCAGCTATTCAGGAGATGGTAGCCTGGCACGAAGTACATGCTTAAAGTATTTGTGAGCTGCACTGGTTAATTGCTTCTTTCAGAGACTCACCAACCAACTTTCAACAAGCTTTCTCTGTAAGGTTTTTTTTATTCCACCTTTTAGTTTTTCACATAGGAACTTACATTCCTGTAACTGTTACGGCATCATCATTACTCCTAGTACTGAAAATGTTAGCTATGTGAAAGGAAGGCTGTAGAACTGGCAATAACTTGATATCAGTTAATAAGATGTGGCAATCATATTTTTGTTTAAAGTATGTTAAGTGGAAAAAAATGCCAGTACTGTTTGTACTGCAAACAGCATCTGTAAGGTGCTGTCATGACCGTGCTATGTTAATACTTGTGACATAAAAGTTATCAGTGATTTTTTTTTTTTGTGGTTTGTTTTTTTGTTGGAGGTTTGGGGTTTTTTTGGTTGGTTTTTTTTTTTGTTTTGTTTTTTGGGAGGGGATTAGATAAAAACATCAAAATACTACAGTCTTGTATAATGTACCACATTATTCTTAAAGTGTATGGGAAGGGCAGATTTACTTGTATTCTGGAGTAACTGCCTAATATGACTTCACCAATCGTTTAGTGATAATTAAAAAGCAAACCAAAAAACCGACAGAAAAAAGTCCAAACCAAGTTTTACAACTATATTATTTCTTCCAAAGCAGGAGGTTCTTTAACATCTTTTGGAACAGACTCTTCAGCCAGTGCTAGCATGTCCCAAAGCACTACAGTTGGTTCTGCATTTACAACAGATGCAAGATCACTAAAAACACAGATGTCTCAAGGTAAATCTGTTTTAATAACTCTTTGATCTTTTTTGACCAATTGTGCCTCTGTGATTTATGTGGTTGCCAGAAATGCTAACCAAAAAGCTGAACCCTTAACATGAAACACTTGATAGTAGAACCAGAAAGCACTGAGAGGCTTTGCACTTCCTCTTGAAAAGTGTTTTCCTATCTTGGTGTGCTACATAGGTAACTGTTAGCAACACATCTCTTGCTCTCCTTAAAGCATATGTATTGAAGAGCAGGACTTAGTTCCATTGAATACTGTTCGCAAGTAGGTGCATATGGAAACTCAATATCTAGTTTTATTGCTGACGTGACAAAACTCAAGATGCTTCATGCTGACTGAATTGTGAAGTCCTTCAGCCTACAGTTTTCAAATCTTTATTCTTAAAGGTATTTTTTTGTTAGTGTGTATCTAGATGAATAATACTAACAACAGACCTGATTGCCTTTAGAGAAAGTGACATGACAGTTAGGTCAGCTTAATAGTAATAGAATGTATGGGTAGTTTGTGTAATACTGGAAAAAGAAAGTAGGAGCAAAAAGGAACTTCTCTATGCTTTTTGAGTTGCAAAGAAAAAAGAAACTAAATGTGGAGCACCTTCACCCTCACTTTTCATGCAGATGTGTTGATTGCTCCTCAAAATCCAAAACACATTATTTTTTGCTCTTCCACTCTTCATTGCTGTGTGCTAAGATACATTCCAAATGCTGTTTTTAAGTTTATGCAATCATGTTAAAAGGCAGAACACTTGCAGCAAACAGGGCTTTTCCTGACTTCTACTGGAGATTTGTATACCAGTTAGGACTATTTTCTAGGATTAGTTGAGGGGATTACCAAAAATAGGTTCTAGGTGTGTGTTGCGTTAATTGAAGTGGGGGGAAAAAGGTATGCTCAGCATTTACTGTTTCTCTGTTGAAAGAGTACCTTTCTGTAGGTGAAATTAAAACCTGTATGATCCTTGGACTTAACATATGACACTCCAGATGAACATACATTCGGACACCAAATCTGGAGGGCACCAACAAGTTTCCACCTCTGTGTTTGCTTTTAAAATATTTGTCATCTTCATAGATACTGTGTGGTTGGTTTTTTTGGGTGTGGTGGGTTCTTGTTTGTTTGGTTTTGTTGTGGTTGTTTCTTTTTCTGTTAAGTTTTTTGTTGTTGTTGTTTTTTGTTTTGGTTTTTTTTTTTAGTGGGATGTAACATTGCTCTTTTGTTTACCGAGTTTTGAATCTCATTCTAATTTCTTAGTAGATTTACCTATATGCTGTCATAAACTTGTCTGGCTGAGTCAAACGTCTCCATTCTAAACATGCTTCTGGCTCCAGTCACTCATGCTGCAAATTGAAATGTATGAACAGCACTTCATGGCATCTAGCCATCACCATTCGTTTACTTTGTGGTGATCATAAAACAGAGTTTGCTAGATGAAATGAAATTTCAGTATCTTAACTGTATCTCTGCCTTTAGGAGAAGTCACTTTCCACTTGGCTTTCCAGAGAAGCAGAAAGTATTTTTACTTCCAGTCAATCAAAAAATTTAATTCCACAGCTAAATGCACATCATGGATGGATTAGTAGGGATTAGTTGTCCTACCCATTTTTTTTCTTTTATACTGGGGAAAGGGGAATTGCTAAATAGCCTTCATTCTAGATAGTGAATCTGAGGGTACAGAAATATCTATTTCTTCTTTGGACACAGCTGTCTTGACTGGTAAGGCAGATAAACCTGTCAGTCTAGATTGGTTGAGACCAGTAACTCAAATGTCTAGATGAGAAATAACTCTTTGGGGTTCGGTTTTGTTTTGTTTTTGTCCCAGGACGTTCAAGCCCTCAGATGGATCACTTGAGAAGGAGCCCCTCCATGGAACAAGCAGTACAAACAGCTTCAGCCCACTTGCCTACTCCAGCACCAGTTGGGAGGAGGAGTCCTGTACCAGCCAGACCTTTGGTGTCTGCTAGCCAAAAATCGTTAGAGAATCAGGAGCACAGACGAGGTAGCTTTGAATAATTTTTATATGGCTTATTTTTTTCCCATACGCATTTGAAGTGCTCTTTTTAAGGGTAACGTGTAGGAATTTTCTTGCTGTGCATTACTGGTTGACTGACTAGCAAGGACCTAGATTATATATATTTCTTTTTGAAGTCAAGCATATATTCAGAATTTCCTTTTTATTTTTTTTTCTTTATCCTTTTATGAGTTAAACTTGCGGTTTACTTTTTATAGGTTTGGAATTTTTTCTGAAGTATGAACTACGTAACTATATACAAAAGTATGATCAAAAATACCTAATTGGATAAACAAATAACTTTTTTATTTCCAACTTTAGCTGAAGCACACAAGGTTTCAAGATCAGAAAATGAACTCAGAAATGAAAACAAACGACAAATTGGTAAATCTTGTTTTGAGAAATAGCTATCGTGTTTCCAGACTTCATCAAGTTTTTTAAGTCTGCTAAAATACATCATTCTGTGTAATTTGCAGAGTGTTCAGACTCCATAAACAGCCAGAGATCTTGCAATTCAGATTACAGTAGTAAAGAATTAATGTATTTATTATTATGCCACATAATTTTTTCTAGTGGGTGGTAACAACTTTGCATTGGGATCAGAATCATGCAAGCACAAAAAAGAGAAAATATCTTCTGATTGCTTCATGCTAAGCAATTTGAATAAAAATCCAGAACCAAGCAATATTCACGGATTTATAAACACAATAGCATAAAATAAAACCTGTCACCTTTTATACAAAAATAATGGACTGAAAAGCCACTAACATCTTAAATCTTTCTCCAAAAGCTTTATGACTTCTAGAAGGTCATTTTAGTACCCAAGTTCAGTACCATTATGCTTTGTGTGTCACTGCCATAATTACTGTAAGTGAATTTAAAATTACAAGCTGCTCCAACAGGACTTCTAACAACAGAAGTGCAGGAAGAGGATGCATGAAGTCCCAACCTGTTACCCCAGGACTTAAAAAGCAAACCAAAAAAACCCACCCAAAAAACCAACTGTCGCCACCACCCCCAAATTAAAACCGATCCGCAAACCAAAACCAAACACAATTTTCCTCTTTTCAGTTCCAGGTGGACCTGCAGCACGGAGAGGCCGTGGAGGTCACAGAGGGGGTCGAGGAAGATTTGGCATTAGGAGGGATGGTCCAATGAAGTTTGAGAAGGACTTTGACTTTGAAAGTGCAAATGCACAATTCAACAAGGAGGAAATTGATAGAGAATTTCATAATAAACTTAAACTAAAAGGTAAACCAGTTTTTGCTTTATATTTAATGATGGGGGGAAAACTGTGTCTTGCTGTTTCAATCCTATCTTGAAGGCATATCCTATTAAGTCTTGTTTGTGGTTCTTTAAAAAAAAAATACATCAATGAACAAGTAAACTGGGATCATCAATTTAAATGCTTAGGTCAGTATTTAAGTTTCGAACGCATTTTAACTACCAAATATCATACGTCATGTTCTAACAAGTCTGTTGATTAAGATTACTTGAGCAGAAGTCCCAACAGTGTTTACTTTTGAGTTCTGGAAAAGATGCAATAAAAGAAAACCTGCATTTATGTTTCCAATTATTAGTAGACCAAAGCAGTCACAAGAACATGTGTTTGGGATCAGTACTTTGTTGGAGGACACACAAGAGTTTTAATTTAAGGAAGCATCTATGATTTCTTTTGTGGTGATCCTTTTCCAAGGACAACCAGAAGTTCAAATCCATATTGCCAGCATGTTTGTCTTTATTTTTCCTAGCAGGCTTCTATTTTAGTTATCTCATTCTCTTGTGACCAGCCACCTGTTTGTTACACTGCTGCTACTATTTTTGGACAAAATTGTTACAGGTTAAAATACGGAGTTCCCTGTTTCAGTAAATGACTTCTGAAAAACAGGAAGCAAAAGGTAGGAATAAATGGTCAGATTCCAGTGTAGAGAAGAACCACTAGGGGAGTCCCATAGGGTTTGTTTTGTGATGCTTGCCTCTTACTGGACCATTTTTAAATGAGAAATGAGTTGACAGTTTGCTGTCGATACTTTTTTTTTTTTTTTTTTTTTTTTTTTTTTTTAGTTATTATTCAGAATAATGAACGGGAAAGCAAAGCATAAAGAACTATAGAAATATTTTGTGAGACAGTGGTAATTTTGTGTGTGTGTGTTGAGGAAAGGTTGAGCTGGCTATCTGAATTTTATGCGTAGCATTATGAGGTGTAAATTTGTAAGCTTTTAGGAATGAGACTTCAAGATTGTAATAGCTAGTTCTGCTGAACTTCCAGCTTCCTTTTCAGAGCCAGTCAAAAGAATTAGCTGAACTTCAGGCATTTTTAGGAAACAAAGTCAGTTCGTGGCATACCATGAATGCTGGCCCTGCGTCTCAAAGGAGTAATGGCACAGCTGGAAGACAAAGGAGAAGGGCAACAGGGATGAGCAAAAACATGAATGGCTTTTATGAGGAATGACTGAGTGAGGCTTTTATGTTTGGAAAGGAGGTAGCTGGGATGATAGAAAGTATATGGCTATCAAGTCCATTCTACCACAGGTTTCTTTTTGTTTTGGGGGTTGGTTGTTTTTTCATTAATTAAACCTACAGAGAATACAGAGGATATCAAACCTCCAGACAGCAGCAGCAAAACATCCTAATCTATGTGTCAAATTATATGACTTTCCCATTAAATTTTGGAGGGGGGTTTGTATTTTTGAGCATTCAGTATAGTTTCTGTCTGTCTGGGAATAAGTTAATAGTGCTGTTTTGTTTAGTACGATAGTGTGGAAAGCTTCTGTTTATTTTCCAGAAGATAAACTTGAGAAACCAGAGAAGCCTGTAAATGGAGAAGACAAAGGTGACTCAGGTGTTGATACCCAAAATAGTGAAGGGAATGCGGATGAGGAAGATCCACTTGGCCCCAACTGCTACTATGACAAAACCAAATCTTTCTTTGATAACATCTCCTGTGATGACAATAGGTATGACCTGTGAAGGGAAGCTCATTAGTCTACTTAATGCATGTTTGTGTCGCAAGTTAGTGTCAGCACTACTCATTATCGCTGACTGTGATTTGAGAATGAGTAAAGCTTATTTCCACATGCAGTGGGCAAAAATAAAGTAGGAATACCAAGCACAGAATTTCTTTCTGGGCAAGTGCAGTGCAATAACAGGAAAATACTTTAAATGTTTTAAAACTATGCTTCTGGAACTTAGTGTGAATACTCTAGAATCTCCTTTATGAATTTGCTGAAGTAGGTGTTGTGCTTTGTTTTATTTTCCTGCTAAATTACCACTTCAGTTAAATCAATTATGACTCTGCTTGGGTAATGACTTCTGAGCAGATCACATAACTGTCTTGGCAAGTCTTGGTGTTTGAATGGGAAGACAGCATTTCAGGAAAATTAGAGCTTGTCTTTTGCTGTTGTCTTTCTTACTAGACAAGTTGATGAGGATTGCTGACCTATTGTGAACTATGGGGTGGAGGGGTGTTGAGATGTAGTGGATGGGAACCTAGCTGAGAGTTGATTCCCTCTCATGATTGAGAGACATAACAAAGTATGTTTTTGTCACAGTGTATTCAGTAGAGTACATATGTTCATGTTCATTGTTACTGTTTGTCACAAAGAGGCAGGAAAACATAGGTTTGCAGCTGGTTTGTGACCTTCATACTTGGCCACACCAGGGTGCCTGGTCAATGGTCTCAGCGTGGACAACAGTGAGATCATGAGAAACTGCACAGCCTCATGAGTAAACTATCAGAGATCTGCGTAAAGCTGGTTGTTTTTCTAAGGCTATAAAGGCAGGACCCTCTTGTGGCTGAACCCAGAGCCTCACCTATGGGTGTACACACCGTGTAGGAATTTTCCCAATTACCTGAGACTCCTGGCATCGGCTGCAGTGGGGCTTCCGAGCTTGAAGTGTGGGCCTGGATGATGATTCTGTGGTGACTGGCCATGTATTTCTTCTTAATATCTGTTCTCTCTATGCAGTGATGACTTCATGCATTGCCGATTTTCCTCTGTACTTATGTGTGTGTGTGTATATATATATATGTATATACACGTAGCTTATTTGCTGTATTGTACTTACTTACTGTATATATAGAGATAGAGACCCTATTCACGTTAGTGTGCTTGTATTAGTAAACCGTATACAGCTAGTATATATAAAGTGCTGTTTTGTTGCATACCCTGCCTGCCAGCAGAACATGTACTGACAGCTAGATAAAATAACATCTGTAACGGCAAACTCTTGTTTTCTGTGTCTTGTTATAAATTACTGACAGCTTTTTAAGGTTTATTTAATTATATGATGTTGTATGCAGAGGATACAGACTGTATCCTTCTATATGGGAAACTCTTAGAGCATTCTTAATATAAGTGGTACTGTAACCTATTCCTTTTGCTGAGAGAAATGAATTGTGGCAGACACCTAGATTCTTGCAGAAGGCATAATGAAGATTTACAGTGGGATTAATGTGTGATTTTTAATTTCATGGGCTTTTTGGTGATTGTGACTAAGGCAGGCAATTCTCCTGAAGTGTGTTTTACAGTGATCCTTGTTTCTTTTGTGTGGCAGAGAACGGCGACCCACCTGGGCTGAGGAAAGAAGATTAAACGCAGAGACCTTTGGGATTCCACTGCGTCCTAATCGCGGCCGTGGAGGGTACAGAGGCAGAGGGGGGATTGGCTTCCGAGGTGGAAGAGGACGAGGAGGTGGAAGAGGTGGCTTCACTGCCCCCCGAGGATTCCGTGGTGGATTCAGAGGAGGTCGTGGAGGCAGGGAGTTCGCTGACTTTGAATATAGGGTAAAATATGTTTAATGTTACTGTGACCTGATCCCCTGTTCTTGGAAACTAGTAGTGAAAAACCTCCTCCTGTTAAATTTGACATTGAACTAGAATTTCTTGAATAATACTTTGCAAGTAAGTTTTCCAGTTTACATTGGAAACAGTGTAAATTCAACTCTGTATGAAAGCTCATGGATCATACATATGATCTCAGTCAGCAGAGTTCAGCTGCTTGGAAAACCAAAATCTTCTAACAATTTCAGTGCAAGCCATTTTCCTTGGCATTAAATGTGTATGTCAACTGGAACATTGGCTTGTGAAGGAACAGCAGTAATACTGGCACCCTGTTCAGAATCAGAAACAAATGTAATTAACCAGATTGGTGCAAGGAAGTGTAGGCTTTTACAACTCTGACTGGCACAGAATAACTTTCCCTGGAAGCTTACTGCATGGGCAGTTACTTTATGTCTGAAGATTTAAGTATTTTTAATGAAAACAAAAAGGGGGGAGCCCTTTTTTTGTGGCTGAAGATTTCTGACTGTCCCTCAGTTATTCCTTCGTTAGTAGAGACTTTTTTGATAGCTGAGCATGAATGGAAATGAGGGTGGAAGATCCAAGATCTGAATTTCTGCATGAAAGGGTTTGACAGCCTTACAGATAAGTGCAAGGTGGTGTAAAGACTGAGGATTTGTGCCATGTCCAAGTGACGAGGTGCTTCAGCATGTGCCAGGTGAGGGAGTGTTGACCAGACACTAACCTGCTCGCACACAGAGGTCGCCTTTCCCATTGCAGAAGATGGGAAGGAGCCATCACAGTGCATCTTGTCCTAATGCTGTTGCCCAGATTAATTTGCGATTATTTTGTTGTTGTTGTTTTGTGGGGTTTTTTGTTTGGTTGGTTTTTGGGTGCTTTTTGTTTGTTTGTTTGGGTGGGTGGGGGGGTTTCTTTGTTTGGGGGGTTTTGTTTGTTTTGCAGACTTAATTTTAATCTCACACTGTTGTTCCCTCTAGAAAGACAACAAAGTTGCTGCATAGTCTACAGGAAAGCTGAAACCAGGTGAACGTCTAGATCTTCTTGATCCAGAGAATTAGTTTCAATCTGCAAAGAATGAATTTAATTTGCTGTATACTTGTCACCAGCACTGGGATTTAACTATTTAATTTCAAAGGGGTGTAATGCAGTTACTTTTGAAAAATGGCCATCTTTGAAAACAGTAAGCATTAAATATATTTGAGACAGAAGGATGAGTAATTTCTTATGTATAGTTAATTATAAAGCAGTACTTCGATGGAGTTTAAGTATTTTTTCATCACTGAAAGGATTTTTCTTATTACTAAACTGTATTTGATAATTGCTTCAAGTTGTAAGGACAATTGTATGCAGAAGGCCGTCGATACTGTGAGTGTTTTGACCCACTGAAGGTTGTTTTTTGGAAATCCTGTAATATCCCTTTTGAGATAGTTGTACTTTTATCAACTAGGGTGCTGGACAGTAGGAAACTTGCTTTGTCACTCAAATATGTACACACAGTAAATACTGTTTCTTAGGCAAAGGAACCTTTTTATATAGTTGTAAAATTCCATTATATCCCATTGCCAAAGAAACATCACAAACTTTGTATAGCTGTATAAAAAGCAACTAATTTTTTAAAGAATAAACATTTTTAAGTCGGCAAACATACTGTGTTATTGCAAAAGTTGATATGCTGAAGAACACTGAATTAGTTGGTTTTCTTTTTTCTTTAGCAGCTTTTTAGGCTTAAATGTTTGATTTTCTATTTGATCTCTTAATGAAGGTTCTAAAATATTCTTCCATCACACAAAACTGGATACACTTTTCCCTTTTCTTGCAAGGATTTGAATTTTATAGCTTCTGGCATATCACAGGATTTGACCAAATTAAAGGAGATATTTTAAATAAGGAGAACAGAAATTCTACTATGTCAAATTTGCAGTTAATTTTGCTTAGTGATAAATATTAACTTTTTTTTTTTTTAATGGTGGACCAGGCACATAAGTTCATGATCCTCCTGGTGTGCCTGGGACTGAAATATGTCTCCATTCGTCAAATCTTGAGCTGTTAACTTTGTTGTAATACCTGTAGACATAAGCAATTTAAAGAATTCTTAGTGTTTGAAGTTGTTTGCATTTTGCTAGGCCATAGCTTGGGAGACATTATGACTCTGGTTGTAAGACCATGAAGTCAGAGATGACATAGGATGGACTCTGCCAATTGCGAATGACTAGTTACAACGTTTTGACGCGCTGGAATAGAAACCTGGTCATATGTGTCTGTCTGTGTGTATGAAGGCCACAGGAATAAAGGGATCCAAAGATTAAAACCTTTTGATCTAATTTGCTGATTTTTTTTTTTCTTTCTTTGTGTTTTTTTTGGTTTTTTTTTTTAAACTTCAAAATGCTCAGTGGTGATAAAATGTGGAAAACTGCACTGTTGGAAAATTGGAATATTTAAAGTGGTGATAGAATCTTAATTTTATAACTTTTGTATAGCACTACGAGGAAGTATTTTGTAATTGGTTTCCTTATTAAGGTCAAGTAGACATTAGATAATATTGTTTAGTAATGTTTTTTGCATGTTAACAGCAATGCCTTTTGGGATCCACAGATCATGATTGTGAGCAGCCGTGGGGGATGCTGGACCGCAGAGCCAGTGCTGTGCTGTTGCAATAACTGTATACTGTAGGACGTGGCCCGGGCTTATTTAAACACGATGAGTTGTAAATACAGGCGCTCTGTGCTGGGAAGGGGGTGAGGCGGTCTGGCCCTTCCCGCGGGGCTGCCGTGGGGCGGTCTGCCCCTTCCCGCGGGGCTGCCTGCAGCTGCCGTGCGCCGCGGCACCGAGGGGATGTTCCTTTTGTTTTTACTTTATGTTAAACACGAATAAACCGTTGGCTGAAGCCCGGCTCTGCACGTTATTTGGGGGGGGTGGG